AACTATCAAAGGGTCAAAGCATCTGTATAAACTTCTGTCAAGACAGGAGGAGCTTTTACAAATAGGTAGGATAAAAATATGATGTATTAAGGCTTTTCTTTCTTTCTTAAGATCTTTTACTTATCTCCCAGGAAAGTGTGTTACTTCAGTGCCTTTTCCCATTTGCAATGGTGTCAGCAAACCATCAGCCAGAGAAGCCAGGTGTTTGAAATCATCCCCAGAGACCGCTGCATGTAGAAATACCCAGCAGTAGGGAATTGCCTTGATGACCAAGGCTGTATTCAGCCTATCTAGCTTTATTAATCTGCTGACAGGCTGCCACTTCCCACTGGCATCAGTGAGAAAGCGAGTTAAGCAGCAGCTTAATTAATGGCCAGGCTAGGTGCTTTCTTCAAAGACTGACTGAGACAGACACTGGTCTTGCCCAACTGAAATGCCAACGCAGTTTAAGTGTTCCTGCAACCTCCACGGTCAGGCTATTTATACAAATTTGGTATGTTTGAAAACTTTGTGCAGAAGGATGTTTGGGCGTCGTAAACACAAACCATGTGCAACGTAGGTACTTGTGGGTCAGATATTTGCCAAAAGTCAAAGCCTTTAGCAGGATAAGAAAATATTCCTCTCCATCGCTGATTTGAAATAGCTTTAGCTTGTATGAAACACAGACTCATAGGACTGGAAATATCCCTGGCCTTAGGCTGTATCAAAACATGTGTGACAGAGATTTGAATGGACTTAGATGCAAGTCATGTAAGGTCAAGTTTCCATTTAAGAACCATTTGCATTAGCAGCCCTACCACTGTGTAACACAGAGGAAGAGACACTAACGATATTTAGCACATTAACATGGACAACAGCTATTTGCCACATCCTCAGGAATAAACACAGATGAACTTAAAACGAAGCTGCGCTTCTAATCCCTCCTTGTTGTGCAGGGTTTTTATAGAGGTTCACACAAAATCCTCACTGGGGAGCGAGATTTGAGATCTAGTTTGGACATAATATGGCAGAGAATACACAGTCTGTGCCAGTCAAGCTCGCCCGACACAAATACAATTGCAATTCCTCGTGCATTTTGGTGAATGAGCAGGCTCATACCTGTCTGTTCAACCAGGCTCAGGTTCCTCGCTGAAAAATGGTCCCAGCAGAAAATATTTAGCCCTTGCACCTGTGTGGGGGCAACCTCAGCTCCCTTGACAGAAGCAGATGGGAGGTCCATGTGCTGCTACGTCAGAAATGTCTGTCATTCTCCCGTTTCTCCTATGTCCTGTGTTTTAGGTTATCAGGCGTGCTCCTCTTGATGCCAGTTAAAACGTAGGTGTCAAACACAGAAGGCATGTTCATTTATAACTACACAGACTATAATTATATGTAGTCTAGGGCTTATTTCCTCAACTAGGAAGAAGGAAAAATGGGTTAGGTGGGTGTGAGTAAAGTAGCAAGCAAGAACATGTTTTTTAGAGGTTATGAAACTACCTTGATCTCCCAGTATGAGAAATGCTGGCTAAGAACAAACAAATTGGAAAACTGTGTGCAGGCTGAGAGTCGGGACAAAAACAAGGGAATTGGGAACTGACAAGGGTATAGTAACAAGTTCCTGACTGAGCCTGGGAACTTAGCATTACAAGGAAAAATGGAGGAGAAATATGAGGTCATCACCACGGCTTATTTGCAGGAAGATAAATGCCAGTTTGGGATTACCAGGTGAGATATTTCAGTGAGAAATGGCGGCTTTAATGTCACTACATGAAGCATCAGTAAGACCTCCTCCCATTTAATACTCTAACTACTTTTGGTCATCTATATGCACTTTAAGATTAATTGAAACCAGAGCAGATGGAGGGAAGAAGTCTGAGGTGAACTGAGAGTCATTTAGGAAAGAAGATTGAAAAGCCAGTCCTGTATAGCTCAGGGGGGAAAAGGAGACAGGAACCATCTCCATAAAAATACTTGAGTAATGAGCAGTGAGCAAAACAGCTACTGAAATGGAAGCCGGTGCTGGTGCAAGAAAATGTGGGAATAAACTGGTGATAGAAATGACATGAAGGTTCCTGACCATCAGGAACATGAACAGCCTGGGTGAATATCACAGAAGGAATAACAGGCACAAAACACAAAATTGTTTTAAATTGAAGGATGGTCTTTTCATGAAAAAGACCATAAACAACATCGTTCCTGGCACAGCAGAGAAGTGGGCTCTGTGATCCAAGCTCCTCCTGTGCTTCTAGCTCTAAATTGCCTAACGGGAATAGAACAGCAGCAAACCAAGGCCTTCGGCTACTTGTTACTGGAGATCTGTGGAATATTTTCACAGCAGCTGTAATGCCAGAAGCTCCAGTGTCCTGGCTAAACACCAGGACATTCCTCTGCTATTTAAGTCCCCCCCGTGGTTTCACTTAGTAATGCTACTATTTGCTCCCAGTCCAAAAATTGTGGAACAATGCTGCCTTTTTGGGCTTTAAAGATGTTTTCTATTTACTGAATTGCTCTTCAAACTGTAGTATAATTCACTCTAGGGTGTAACTGTGTTGCATTTTAACCTGCACAGAAATAGCATGTGCAAGTGTGGAGAGAGGATGGGAGAAAAAATAGCAATATAAAAATATCTTTATGACAGCCCAAGTGAGCAATATTACCCTTATTTTACATTAGAGAATTCCTGATCCTTTTAGTCTATAAGCAAAAAAGTTTGAAACCTTTGCCATGAACACAAAAAAGGCAAGTGTGATTTGGGGCTTTGCTATCAGCTGTAGCTTTTAAACAGTCTCTGGAAGCTTGGTCTTGAATCTTATTTCATGACCTTTTCAAAGAAGTCTAAAGTTGAATTCTGGCTTTTCATCAAAATCAGAGAAAATTAATGACCCTGGCCTAAAGATCCTAATATGCACTGGCAGGCTTGGAGTTTGGAATGGTATGAATTTCCCAGGGTGTAAGAGTCAATGACTGTTAACCTGCATTACCTGTATTGCAACAGTGCCTGGATCCTCCCAAACAAGAATAATGACATGTCCTATCCCAGATCTGTATCTATGGATGGCAGATATTACGTAGAACAAGGAATCATTATTATTATTTAATTCTTGCAATCACCAGAGCAGCTGAGCTACTCCCACAGCTGCATTAAATATCACGACTAAAATATGCAACCCTTTTGTTATTTCATCTTCTATGAGAAAAGTGGACTGTCACATTTCAACAGACAATTTTAAGCACATATTTCTCAGTAAGTATGTTGGGAAATACAGCTCACAAAACGTGCCCTGTTATTCCAGTTTTGCCTATATTCAGTAATACTACCTAAAGTAGCTCCAGACAATATAGCTTGGGTCCTGGAGCTGTGCAGGTAGCATGGAGCAAAATATAGACTAATCTGCCCTAAGACTGGAGTAAATAAGTCTACACAGAGCTCTGCCTTAACAAGTTACTTTAATATTTGGATGGAATTGGGTTAGAGATGGCTTGAGTAGAGCTGATTCTAAGCACAAGCCAAGTAGGCAGATTTTCAAGGGCATTCACCACCAGGACGTGAAAGCTGCTGAGATAAGAAACTTTCTGCCTAATTTTGCTGTGCCAGAACCCTGTGAAGGGGAGGAGAGAGAGGTGCAGGAGGAAGAGTAATTCTTGCTGGAGCTGCAGGAGCAGCACTGGCCTCCTATCGCAGCTCCTTCACAGCCTGTGGCATAGTCAGGCTGCAGCCACCCTTCCTGAGGATGGAGGAACTTCGGGTGTGCCCACCTTGGTGAGCTGGTGTGAGCTGAGGAGAGCAAGGACCCCCTTTCCCAGCAGCCATGAGTGCAGTGGTGCCTCACATGGCCTTGCAGAGGAAACAGGAAGATGACTGATAGTGATGGCTATGAGAGGTTGTGCCAGATGCTCTGGCCAGACCCTGCCCTCCAGAATAGGTTTGTTGCAGAGGAGCTTCATAGAATCACAGAATCAGCCATGTTGGAAAGGGCCTCTGAATCATCAAGTCCAACCCTTGATCCAACACAGCTCTGGTTACTAGATCATGGCACTAAGTGTCACATCCAGTCCCATATGGTGAAGTGAAATTTGGTCTCCTAGATATCCTGGATTCACCTTCTGGGGATAACAACTAAAGTATTGAACTTGGTCCAAGTGTTGTAGCCAATAGTGCTAAGAAGCGCTGCAGGATTTTGAGCAGACAGGAGTCTCCTTAGCCCTAAAGACTTTTTGTCCAGCCATCTCATTTTGCTGTCAGCCTGACAAGAGGTGATAAAATTACCAATAACGGCAGATCACTCACTGCCAGGATGGAAGAGAATGCCAACTTGAGAGGAAAATGAGCTTTCCTCATGGATCAGGGCAAGGGCACTCCTGCACTAGGGGCTGCATGGATTATCTCCAGCCACATTCTTCAGGAGAAGGTGCTAGCCCAAATCTATGCAGATTCTCATTCCACTCTCCAGACTCACTGACACTGCCCTTGCAGCCTGTTTCAGGTGCCCACTTCTCATCCATCAACAATTTCAGCCTCATCCGGGCTGCGTCTGTGGCAGGGATACAGCAAAACTACGTGCCACTTTTCTGGGATGAGGCAGCATCACGGCGCCCAGCTTGCCAGCTCGCTCCAACGAGCTCAGACAGGAAATTCCCGGGAAGGAATCCCAGCACATCAGAGGGGAGAAGGAGAAACTTTATTGTCACGGGGGGCAGGTGGCCCGTAGAGCGGCGCCGGAGCTGCGGCGTTGGCACCACCGAAACAGGCAGTCGGTTGGCTCCGAGGGCTCCGGCCGGCTCCAGGCTCCCGGCTGCAGGCAGCGCCCGCCGGCAGGACAGCTCCGGCCAGGAGAGGGAGCCGTGGCCCCGCACACCCCGCCTCGCACCCGCCTCCTCCGGCCGGACAGCGCGACCGCTTCCCCCTCACGCAGCGCCCTCCGGCTCCGATCCCGCTTTCCCGGAGCGACCCGCCGGGGGCGGGGGGACCCTCCCCGAGCGCGCAGGGAGCGCGGCCGAGGGGAAAGGGGCGGGCAGGGCGGAGCGGAGCCGCGGGGCGCGGATCGGGGACGACGAAAGAGGTAGAAGAAGAAGAGGAGAAGGAGGAAGAAGAGGAGAGCGCGGCGCGGGGCACAGCTGTGCGCTCCCCGTGTCCTCAGGTGAGCCGCGGTGCGTGGGGATGCGTGGGGGTTGCCCGTGTTCCTGTAGGCGTGGGCAGGGACAGGGGTAGGGAGCTCGGTCCGCCCCGCCCCGGCCGTGAACTTCCCCGCACGCAAAGGGAAAGTTTGTGTCGGAGGAGGAGGTTTCCAGCCCCGGCGCGGGGTGCGCGGGGTGAGGCGGGCGGTGGTGGTGGCGGCGGTGGCGGCGACCGTAGCAGCCCCCACAGCCCCTGCTCCTCGGTTGGGGAGAAAATAAGAAAGAAAGAAGAGGAAGCGCTCGGGAGAGCCTGAGGAGCAGTGCCCGGAGGGCCCGGGCACGGACGGGTCGGCACGGTGAGAGCGAGGTGCGGTGATGGGGGGAGCGGGGCGGAGGAGGCGGCGGGCGCGGCTGTGCCGGTGCCACCGCGGGGCCGGGGACCCCGCGCATCCTCGGGGGACCCCTTCGCGATCCCTCGGGAAGGAGCCTGTGCGTGTGAGGGAGGCGAGCCCAGCTCCACGACCGCGGATTGTGTCTCCGGCGCTCCTGCTGACCGTACCTCCGGTCTCCAAAATACGGAGCGGTTTCCTTAAATTTGCTCCCTTGGGCCAGGGAAATCTAGATATTTCTGGCTGGAGATCTTACACGCACTGACGAATGCAACTTTAATTTTTTATCATCCGTATTGCAAATATGGGAGCCTCTGCTACCTGCTCCCCTCCGCTGTCAGATATCTGAAAAGGAAGAGGGGAGAGGAAGGGATCAGGCTTAAGCCGCAGCAGGGAAATAAAGTGAAAGAGACAGGTCCAAGAAGACCGAGTCGAAGCGATTAGATATTGCCAGCAAGATGGCATTTGCTGTGTGTTTGTTGGGGACAGATACCTCTTTATTAGAAGCATTTTGGGGAGATTACCTTGAGGGAAACGGGATGGTGGGAATTATTTCCTGAAAAAGACGGTGGGGGAAAAGGAGACTGTCAGGGCTTCACTGTTTCAGGTGTCTCTTTTCTGTGCCAGTGTTGCTTTCCCCCGGGTAGAGTGGCAGTGCTTGTTCCTCAGCCTGAGCTGGTTTCTTTGGGTTTGTACTGTGCTTGGCACGACAGAATCCCAATCTCGGGCCTTAGAACGCTACAATAAAGTGGATTATAAATGCACTCTCACAGGCACACTCTCTCTTTCTATCTTAACCTCTGCTTTGTGAATAGCTGATTATATTGCTTGGATAAAATTCTGTTTTGCTTTACTGATGTTTTTTTCTTATAAAATGATGGCTTTTGTTCCACACATTCAGTTTTGTTGTCCTAGCAAAGGCTTTTTACTTCTGGATTTGAGAGATAAGCAGCAAGCTCCTTATATTTTTCAAAAATTTACCTCCTTTGTGATTAAAAAGTATTATTTTCCTGACACTCCATTTTTAGCAGTGCCTCTTTTGGGTAAGAAGAACTTACACTTCCATACCTAAAAGTATTTTGGGGAATTATTTATTAACTGTACTGTGGAGAGTCCATATCTCATAACTTAGAGGGTCATTTATAACAGGTTGCTTTTGGCAGCTCTGGAAGATTTACTTGCTGTCTTGTGTTCCTTGCAGGAAAGGCATCCCTTGTTTGCATGGAGAGCATCACTCCAGCCCAAGGGCTCTCTGGTGGGCAGGCTTGGTGCTAGAAAGGGTCCTGTTTTCTGCCTCCATTGCCTGCCTCTGGTGAGCAGGAGAGGGCAAGCAGAGAGGATTAAGCTCTAATACCTAGATGTTCTCCTTCTCTGGATGTTGTATGGTGTTGTTGCTGTCCCTTGGAACACTTTTTCTGTAAGAACATTTAAGGATGCAGAATAATGATGGACATGGAGAGTAAGACTGTGAGGACCTGGGGTGGTGGAAGCATGCAGGGCACTGAAATGACAGGAAATATTAAGCTGGGAAGGCAGGAGCTGCTGCATGGAGGTGAAGCAGAGGGCTGTGGGGTGAGAGGTTATGTTTCTTGTGCAGTGCCTCTGTGCAAGGCAGAGGGCAGGTCTGCACTTACACAGCCCTGTGACTTGCTTTCCATGCATCTGGTTGTAGCTTGAGTTCAAAGTGTCTACATATTATATAGGAATAGCAGTGCTGGCTCATGTCTGTCCATTCCTCCCCAGAGTCCAGAAGGTCCTCTGGTCCCTCCAGAGTCTCGAAGGAAAGCTTGCGTCTGAACATATTTAGGCTCTCTCCTTCCAGACTCTGTGGCTCTGTGCAGTTATTCTGCATCTAAAACAGTGAGTGTGCAGTGGGGATAAGTACTGTGCTGGTCTGGGCTCCAGCACACTCATACCCTTGGTCAGGTAGGGCTACCCAAAAGTATCTGGCAGGAACACGTAGGTAAGACAGACTTCAGAGGACAGGGAGAGTGATGTGGCAGCAGGTTGGATGGTGCCTGGTACAGGAAGGTATGGGAAGTGCCTCAACGCTGGACTCAGTGCTGTGATTTTATGCTCCGAAATATGCATATAGGAAGAACAAGGCAGAGAGAGTTTGTCCCAGCTTTATTCCTTCAAGACCTGCATGAATCAGATGCTAGCTCGAAGGAGGAACCATGACACTTTTTCAGAATAAGAGGCCAGAACTTGTGTTTTTATTCCTTCTTCTCACTTATTGTTATGTTTGGATTTCTATGCTGGTTATTTTGGCAGGCACATGATTCATATTCCTTTCCCCATCTGTCCTGGGTCCCCTACTCTTGTCAAGTGACCGTTCATTTCAGCAAGACTGACTTGCAAAAACTTGCCATGGAGGTAACCCTTGTGGCTGGTGGTGTGGGAGAGCCCCAGCTTGATTCTCAGAGGACAGGTTGCATTAGCCAGGTGGACAGTCAGGAAGAACATATCAGCATGTGAGTGCACTCATGTCTTTTTTTTTTTTTTTTCCCATCATACAGTAATGGGGAATGCTTCAGGAATAAAAATAGATATATGGAAAAGCCTGTATAAGCTGAAATCTGTGAACAGCGCCACATTATCTGGGAACTGAAACACATTCTACAGTGAATCTTGCAATTCAGACATTGCCTGCTCTCCTCCTTCCTCCCCAGCCTTTGTGTTGACACAGCTCATGGATTTCACTGCCCCTAAAAGCAGAGCCAAGAGCTGTCTCCTTTGATGCAGTCTGGGCTGGTACCATCTCTGTACCTCGTACGTGAGAGCTGGTGTTCCTCCAGCTGTCCAAAGTGAGACAGATGCAAAGGCAGAAGGAAGGCAAAGCTGGCTGTCAGGTTTGCCACGCTGACCCTTTCTCCACACCAATTCTGCACCCTGTGTGTAGCTCGGAGGCCCACGTGCAGGTGTTCTTTTTTCCCTCCATGGTTTGTAACTGCTTTGTTCTGCTTTGCCATCACCAAAACGTATGGCTGAGCTTCAGTCGGTGCTAAACTGGAACAAAACAGCTTCTCCTTCTGGGAGGTATTTTAGGATTTCTCCCCCCACCCCAATGATTTTGCAAAGCAGAAGGCTAATCTTCCATTTCTCAGCCACAGTGTTGGTATGTGTAGGGCTTCTGCACGCGACTGAGCCACATGTATGTTCGGCGAGAGTGTAGGAAGGGAACTGATTTGGGGAAATTACTTCATATGGTGCCTACACTTCTGGGAATTGTGAGCTTGGCCAGTATGTTTACTGTGTTCAGCTTCAGAGGTCCCAATAAGACACATGCACAGAACATGATACTCATGAATTCAGAGTCTTATTTGACAGAAAATAAAATGCAGGAACATGAATGTACAAGTGTATGTATTTTGTTATAGGGTTCCCTAAAATAGTTGCTTGTAAAACAGGATTTCTAGTATAAATGAAGAATCATATCTCTAGTCAGTCCTTTGTTAATTTAACAACTCTCAGTTTCATCAAATGGGGATATATCCCCAGGAATTCCTCTGACACAGGTGTCCCCTGAGTCTGGATGATTATCCAATTACAATTTAAAGAAAACTACAGCAAGGATAATTGGCTAAAGATAGAAGTATCTGAGAGCGTTAGGGAAAGAGAAGTAAAGAGTGTGAGAGCTTCCCTTTCTCATATGAGTAAATGAGAATTATTCCAGTCCTTACCTTTTGCAATGAGTGGAGTCAAGGCCCCTGGTGTTTGGACCCTGTTACTTTCTTTCCTTCTTTCTTTGCTTCTACACTCTCACTTATGTGTTGACTTCATATTTATATGAAAAGGTTACATTAATTCTTATGGGGTCTTTTTACATTTACATGTGTTGACAAAAAGCGACTGTTAACTTAAATGCTCTGTTTGCAGCAGAGAAGAAGAGATTGCCATGAATCCTGGGCTGAATGGGGGAAGTGGTAGGTGGTTCCTTCTGGGAACACCAAGGAGGTGCTAGGGAGACATTACCTTGGAAATTCCACTCAGAGTAGTGCCATCCAGCTCTTCCTAGCTCTTTCTTGGTGTCCATAGGAAGAGACCTGTTATGTCTGGAAGAACTTCAATGGTCTAGCACTCCCATCCCATGTCTGTCATGGGTATTGGGATCCTTGAGCTGGCATGGCAGAGCTTCCAGTTGGTTCAGAAGCATTTCAGACTGCCCTTAAGCCTGCTCACTCTTTTTTTTTTTATTGCTAACAGCTTGCTTAGGCATGGCTGGGCAAGCTTTACTCTTTAACCCTTAGAGCTTTGGATCTGGCCTTCATCCTGAGCCAGCGTGACCACGGGTCAGCGTGTTGTCTGAGTGCAAGTGGAGAGCTCTGTGGTGCAGCCTGGCAGTACCACAGTAGGAGGCTGGTTGTGGGCTCCACATGCAGCTCCAGGGACAGCTTTGTTGTGCAACTGAAAGGCAAAGATACAACATGAATACTTACACAAATTCTTAAGAGGCCTCTTCAGCTTTACTAATCCAAAGTGTTCTGAGAATTAGAAGAGGACTTAAAAAAAAAAAAAAGGGAAAAAAAGTTTTAATACCTCTCCCTTTATCTGGAAAAGCTACCGGGTTTGATTTTTTTGGTTGTGTGTTTGTTTGTTTTCCTAACTGTTTTCTTTAATCCCTTCTGTGACTG